AGATACAGATAACTTTGTTTCTTCTTTATCAACCCTTCATATATATGTATAACATATTTTGCAATCTGCTTCACAATGAATGTAAAAAGGGCACATTCTTCTTATTATCGTTCCTTTCCATGTCCTTCCATATCTCCTCTCTCAGCTTTGTTATCTCCATCCCTCTTAAGGGAAGAGAAATAAAAGTGACAAAGAATAGAGTAAAATAAAGACGAAACAATCCCTTTAATACAGCGTTGGGCTGATTTATGATACTCCAGATGTGTTACTGGGGTACAAAATGCAAGATTATGTTACACAAGCCTCCGTATGATTCTTAGTCCTCGATTTGATCCCACTGTTTGGCTCCAGTTCAGCCTCCGACCCTGCTCCCTTTGGACAGCTTCCAGGATAATGTCAGGCACTGCCAGAGAGGGGTCCAAGCGCAGTTTAAAGTATGTAACCACAGGTGGAGTTTGACTCTCACTTTACTATGGCTCACATACACCCCGCTTTCTCCATAGGTTTGTTTTTTAAGGTTTGAAAAGAAACACAAGGGGGTTTACTGCGCTTGGCAGTCGCTTTATTATTGCTCACTTTGAAATGACACTCGACACCTTTGAGAGGAATATTTTGTTCATGCGACGATACAACATCCTGATTTTATGGTATATTTCTGACAGCTGCTGAGAAAACATTATTCACATGGGAGTTTTGGGTCCAGACAAAATACCCTGCATCATTTTCAGATATCATCTGGATTCACAATATTCATCACAATATTTTTCATTCTGATTATAGACTGTAAGGAGAGACTCCCATACAACCAAGCTGTACCAGTAACAGCGAAGGACTACAAAAGCAAGGCCAACACAAACGCTATGACATTTCAGTTTATGAAACACAACTGGAAGGAAAACTTTACAAAAGCCCATCATGCCCTGTCAAGACAGTTGTTTTTCAATCAATTAGGACAAAACCGAGCATTGAAAGAACTTTGGTTATAAATGAAACGAACAGGCCCCGAACGTGGTTAAAATGTGCTGAGAGATATTGAGCTGCCTGTCAAAGAAATGCACCATTCCTGCTCGAAAACACTGTATTGGCCTGAAGTTCACCCAAGTACAGTCATGGAACAGTGGTTTAAAAATATGTGGCATGAAAGTCTATGATGAGGGTCAAAAACTATGAGCAATAGGTTGAAACCTTTTCAAGTTTTTCACAGATTCTGACTGTGAAAGTGGACTTAATGTTCATGTAAAGTCTTTGGTCATGCAAATTAAAATGGACCTGTGTTGATACGTTTATGTGTGGGGTTTTTTCCATTTTGTTATCTGGTGAATTTTAGAAAATAGGCAGTGGAAAGCTATTTTATAATGCAGAGAAAATCCATTAAAGTAAGTGCTGTTTGGCTTTCCTATTGGCCAGCCAGCAGTGCAGGTATAGAGATGGCAATGCTGGTTGTGTTGGTTGGTTGCCCCCCCACTTTGGTCCAGAGTCAAATCCCTCTACAACTCTTGGATGGATTGCAAAGGAACAGACATTCATGGTTCCAGGCCTTGTTTTTTTAATGATGTGCTGATCCCCTGACTTCACCTCATGCTGAAGCTACAGATCAATCATATTACATTGTGTGGACTGTCTTTCATGATCCCTTAAGTTTTCAACTCGCTCATGTAGGAGCTTGCTTATTACTAAATTACTGCAAAAAATAATGAAATTCTCATACCCTAATTAGTGCTAATTAAGCAGTCCTCATCAAGAGAAAAGAAGGTGGAGCACATTGATGAAAGCGCATCGGCTATCAGCTTTTTGATTCGATTTTGTGGAGAAATGTTCGACTTGTGTGATAAAAGAAAATAGCCGGACTGTAAACAGTGTAGGGCAAACGGAAGATGTTAAGTCTGAACACGGACATCCACTTTCTACAGCGGCCCACAGAGTCAAAATCCTCATGAGTAATAGCCAATGGGCTCAGAGATTGCGCTGCATCAAATTTTGAGGTTGATGGGAAAGCTGAAAGTCGTGGCGCTGGGATGAATCAAAGCAATGAATGCCAGCGGCTTCAGCCAAAGTTAGAAACTACATTTTCATGTGGACTACAGGAGACTGTCAAATATCACAGCTCATCACATCTCAAACTGTCGTTCTGACCGGTGAATATGAGATTCCTCATCGCCGGTCAAGGTCAGTAATATTCAAGCAATGATTGAATTTTTTTTTTTAGATTGGGATACTGACACAATGAATAGTGTAATTTCTCAAAAGTTATGTGTCTGTGAACACGATGCTGTGACGGGAATAGTACCAAGTTAGCTGTGAGAGCAGCATGAAACCATCAGCACAATGCTTTAAACTCTCAAAATTTATTTCATTTCCCCCATTTTTTTTTTCAGGAATAACCAAACAACATGAGATTTCTACAATCCCACAGATTGTTTTTGGTCCAGAATACATAGCAGTAGTCATTTTAATGCTATTTGGCACAACGGATTCCCATGTAATTGGCAGCATTGTGAAACATGCTGTACTAAGCCATGGGTGTATTGTTTTTGAATACTTTTGCCCATGTTCTTCATTACAACATTATTTCAATGTTACGCATTGCTGTTTATACTGTGTTGTATTATATTATGTTTATAATGTGTTTGGGGCATAATTGTGTTTTACCCAAACCTATCATCCATAAAATATTGATTGGCCCAGAACATTTAACACCACCGCACCTCCATATTTCTCTTGTTGCTTAAAATCAATCAGATTTAAGTGAACCAGCCAGGGCCCAAACCAGAATTGAGCTTGATATACATAATCGCACCACTCAAAGCCTTTCTCTCTGAGCAATACAGCTATTCTTTGAAGTAAAAGTCAGAATTCTGCCAAAAATAGCATAAGGGGTAACAGCTCCAACCTCCAAAGTTAATCAAGTTTGAGGAGAGGTGGCTTTCCATTTCTGTGCAAACCCAACTGCGCCTTTCACGGGTAAAGCAAAGGAATTCAGATGTGTTTGGCATGTGGATTATCCAAGTTCAAATGTGAAACGAAAGACAATTGCTGTGTTTTATTTGTGCAAATAAAATAAAATAATCAGAGGAGGAGGACAGCAAACTGCACTTTTCTTTTGTGAACCATTGCAGTATATGCATCATGGAAACTTAACTTTAAAATCACACATTACAAAAGTAAGAAAGACTGCCTTCAGAAACATGCAACAAACGTCTGGAGATCAACTTAGTGCCAAGCATGACTATAATTCCACGTTTGATTCATTCAGCTACAAGTGTTTCCATGGTTCAAACTCTTTTTCCCTTGAATCGTAAACAACCAGCCTATTCTATG